TACCCACAGGAGGGAAGGGTTGTGTTGCAGCGGCTCCTCCGGCCTGCACAAGGATACTCAGGTTGTTTTGGGCCTCACCCAGCCTGCAGAGATGGGACACCTGCAGCTCTCTGGGTGGATTCTCTTTCTACCATCTGACCTAAATCGTCCCTCTTTAATGCCACTCACTCTTGTTCTGTCACTATCAGACTGTGTAGAAAGCCCATCCCCCACCTGCCTGTAAGCTCCCTTTGAACACTGGAAGGCCACGAGGTCTCCCTGTAGCTTCTTCTTCTCCAGGCTGAACAAGCCCATCTCCCTCAACCTTTCTTCACAAGAGAGATGCTCCAGGCCTCTGAGTATCTTTGTGTCCTCCTGTGGACCCGCTGCAACAGTTTGCTTCCCTCCTGTGCTGGGGGCCCCAGGCCTGGACACAGTGCTCCAGATGGGGCCTCACAAGGGCAGAGCAGTGGGGGTCGGTCCCTTCTCTCTCCCTGTTGCCACCCCTGTTGATGCAGTCCAGGATGCAGCTGGCCTTCCAGGCTGCAGGAGCACACTGCTGGCTCACAGCCAGCTTCCTGCCCCTCAGGACCCCAAAGCCTGTCCATGTCCACTGGATTTTTAGACGAGAAAGACAGACCAGCCACTTACAGTGATGACATGGCCATAACCACTTCAGAACAGGAACTGAAGGAATGTGTCTTTGCCAACTGAAATGACAAGGGAACCAAATACTGTGCTAGCGAAGGTATTTATCTTGCCTGAAATATCTGATCTAGTTTGTTGTTTTCCTTGGAGAATTCATGATGAGATCTGGCAGTACATCACAGCATTTATCATTGGGGTTTTGTTATAATTTGTAAAAATTCTCACAAAGTGGGATTTAATGTTGACATTTTATACTATAATTTCTTCAGGGATTTCTACTGTTTTGTGCCCAGGATAAATGCAGATTTTTGAATGATCCTTTTTAGTGCTCACTAGAAAGTCAAAGCAGTCCTATTCTCTGTGACAGATGAGCTAACCTGTCACTGCAGCGTTGCTCCCCGTGCCCCTGAAATGTATCTTGTATTAGCCAAGGAAACAGACTTCAGTCAGATCACTTCAGTTGCTCTTAGTGAGAGGAGTTCAGGAGCAGGGGATGAACCATTTCATACTGTGCAAAACAGCTCTGTGCATCACCTGACAGTGCAAATGGATCAGGACTAGGGGTGCAGATGTTAAGCACACATTTCAGAAGGCCTGAGCGCTAGGTCTGGTTATGGGCAGACAGATGATACTGAACAGCATAAAAAGACCATTGATGTAAACCACATTTGCAAGGAGTTTATACCACAACTACCAAGTCTTGAAGTCAGTTTCCCAGTACCTTGGGCCCACCACAGGAAACCCTAACCAACACCTCAGGTCTGAGGCCTGTATAGTGCTGGGGCATCGTGGAGTTGTGAAATGGACACAAGCTGTTACTTTATAAACCAACATCAACATGTCCCATGGCTTCCACTGAGAGAACATGTGTGCTCCTACCACGTGTTCCCCACACTCTGCACGACCAAAGTGGGTGAAGAGAGGACCGAATGTATCTACTCTGCAGATGCAAATTCTGTGGGGTTGTTGTTGGGGCTTATTTAGGTTATTTAGGGAACCAGTTTACTGGAAGATTGGTATTTTTGTGACAGCAATACTACAATCTTAACTTTAGTTGCATAGGAAGTTAATTTAGAAGCTAGTCACTGTAAGAACTGCTTTTCTCTCTTAATTGTGGGGGCAACCTTTAAAAACAAATTCAAAGTAATATTTTCTAGTGCTCTTTTTCAGATTAATTTCATGCCAATTACTGCTTTACTTTTAGCTGATAAATATTCAGGGAGTAAAAGAAACCAACAACATAGATTAATTCTCCCGCACTACAAACAAAAATTTTTAATATTTTATATGACATAATTAAATGCTGTTTGTTGCTTTCAGAATCTGATCTTGGGACATGTTAATTAATTGCTTTAAGAGGATGGAAGATGTTTCAGAGAGAAAATTCAAGATTCAGATATTTGTAATGTTCAACCTCGTTGGCTAATAATGGTTCCAAAATAAATCCTACCTGCAGAAATCCGGTGGCACCATGCCATAAACATTTATCCTGTCACACAGCTCTAATGCGATAGTCATTGTGAACCAGCCCGTGCTAAGCCAAGTGTTGGATATCTTCCTGAAAGCAAAAACATCATTAAGTTTCTAGTCTGACAAATAATTCTTTAAAATATCTGAAATAATTTCTGGGCATTTTTTTCATTTCTAAGAAAGGTTACGATTTTTTTTTTTCATTTTTATGAGAGGTTATGAAAATTGAGCAACCAGGATGACTTTGCTCAAGTTTTTACCAATGTCTTTTGTCAGTCAACTAACCTGTGCACAAATACTCTGTCCGTAATTAATTTTGGGCACAGCAGCGTTAACATTTAGCTGACCTTTTGTAAAGTTTACCTTAAGTGAGTGAAACTTCATGTCCTGTATATACGTACTCTTGCTAGTAATGTGCTGGATAAACACCACCCATCTGTAATCAATTAATGGAACTTATATACTAAACAAGAAGACACATCACAGGGAAGAGGAGTGCTTAAAATGCAACTTCCCATAGCATACAGAGGAGCCTGTCTGGTAGAGGAGATGAGAGCAAGTACTCATCATCTGCCTTCACACCTTGGTCCACAATCTAGAAGCTCTCAGCTATGCCCTGTGACTACTGGTGGGAAGCTTGGTTAGGTGCAGCCACCTGGGAAGCCTTCCCATAGACCCCAACCCTCTGCTTGCTCTGAGTCCCTTCCCTGCCTGGTGGCACCGTTGATTATGACCTATGAGTGCTGCAAGGGTGCCCTGCGTGGCTGCTCCTTTCCTGGCCTTTTCTACAGGATGGCAGAAGTTCTCAAAGAAGCACAGCTGATCCCAGCATTATTTATGCAGAATTAGCAGATATCATCCTGTGACCTCACATTTTAAGGAGATTTAATACCTGTGCTTAAACTGTGCTCTGTCACAGACTCTTACCTACAAAATGGCTACAGTAATGTTTTTTCATTCTAGCACTTGTTTGTCACTGCTGTTGCTGTGTAGTGGTTACTGATTGCCTGGCACATGGGGCTGGAAGTCCCAGTTCTGCGCTGAGCTCACACACTATGCCTGTGCCTGGGAACAACTGGCTGTCTTGGAACAAGAGGAACATGAGATGCTGGTGAGAAGCAAGTCTTAAAGGTGTAACTGTGTATTTAGGACAGCCGTGCAAGACCAAGTCAGGCATCAATCCTGGAAGGAGAGACTCAAAACTACAACAGCCATTACCGGCAAGTGCTGTCATCACCAATACAGAAATTCAGCAGACAGGAGCACGCTGTACAGCTTCCCAAATGAGTGCTGTGTTGGCTCCAAGTAGGTTATCTGCAGGACAGTAAGATGTCCTGAATGCTGTCAGACTGAGGAATGCCTGGTGCTGAGGTCTCCTATTTCCTGGTGCTGAGGTCTCCTATTTCCTCAATGAACAGTGAAACTATTGCAAGTTAAGCACAACAAAGTGGTACAGAGGATGCTGGGGAGCCTCCACGTTTTGCCCTGTCAGTTACGTGATAATGTAAAAGATCCCAAAATGTATGTATTTACTACTTCTGACATAAATTCAGGGCTAAACTAGCAGTTGGAGATAAACTGATCTGAGCATCTCATCAGTTCCAATTAGGGGCCTTATTTCTTATCTAAATTTGCACTTAGATTTTTGGGGGTGGGGGTGGGAAGTGGCATAGTTTATCACAGCGTAGCTGGGTCATAAGCTCAGCAGAGGCCTTCAGGCATAGCAAGAAAACAGCAAATAATTTCTGGCTTGAAATTATTAGGGAAAAGAAAGGTAGGAAAAAGTCCCAAGCAGTTGCTTTCCTGCTGACTCACGAGGTAATTTAGGCTTAGAGCAGTCCATGCCTTAAGACCTTGCATTCAAAACCAAGAGAGCAATTGCACTTAGGCCATGACCTGAGTTCTGCATGTGTCAGGAAACCCAGCAGGGCTGTCTGCTGGGTTACTTTCCTTTTTGCTCACGCACACTTAGTTCACAATTCAGTGTTTTCAGTAAATCAGAGAAGAACTGATTTTGAATAAACAAGCTTGAATGCTAAACAATGGAACAAAGATTTAAAAACTTATTCAAGTACTGCTTTGGCCTCTTTAAATACCATGTCTGTAGGACAGCTCTGTAGAAACAGGGTTACAACGTTTTGCCTTTTCATGAAAGATCTGAACAAAATTCTAACAAAAGAATCCTGTTTTTATACCTAATCAGCTGTAATGAAAGAATATGAAGAACTGTCATGTGCTTATTAGGGAAAATTATCAGATATTCTTTTATACTACGAACTAACACACTGTGCTGATAATTCTGTAGTGCTCACTAAATTACAATTAAAGGCCTTTCTGCTCCACCAAAATCTCATTTATAATCTCTATGGAAATACTCTTCCTGCAGTTATTGCATTTATGCTTCCTTTATCTAATTACTATAATATTGGTTCTGAATCATATTTTCTTAATGTACCCTTATTCAATTATAAAGTTATTTTCAAGTACAGTTACTTTATAATACCAAGGATACTGCTCTGTAGCCTTTGTCATTCACCATACTATTTAACTGACAGCATGAAGGTTCCCCTTCATTTTAGAATCAGTTTTTTTTTTTTTTTTTTTTTTTTTAAATCACAATGCATCCAATTACCTTTTTCCCCATCATTTCCAAGACAGAAAGGAATGGTTTGATTACTGCAACCTTGCAGTCACACTTCTCTCTCCTTTGTTTCTTTTTGCAGGGACTGATGTCAAGAGCTCAGCAGAAACCTCCCAGGGAATGGCATCATTCCGGGCTGTACAATGCACTGCTTCTGCTCCCACAGCTACATAGCTGTTCTTCCCTTACAATGCCTAGCTGTGTTTCTTTTCATCTTTCTTCTCTTTTTTCCATGCTGCCTATTCATTTATTTTCACCTCCTGTTTTAATCCTTTAGTCCTTCATGTGTGCTGCATGTGCCTTACTAACCAGTGGTTCCTGCAAAGCCTGCAGCTGCTTCAATGCAATAGGACCTGGACAAGAACGAGGCTGCATTCTGCTGGGATCCATGTGCCACTGATTCACGCTGGGAGTTCAGGGTGTCTATGACTGAGTACACTACAAACCTGTTATAATGCTGTTATCATCTCAGACTCCTTGAGAATATTTTGGGAGTCAAGACTGGGCCCGGTGTTTATGTGAGTCAGTCAAGTAGCATGATGCTGAGTTTGATCCACGGTAACTGAACTCTGACAGAAAAGCAGATGGGGTACCACAGACACCAAGCTAAGATGCAGTCACCACAAGCTACAGGATACAGGAGCGTCCATGCCGCTGGCTCTGCCCAAAAGATAAATCTCCTGCTCGAGAGTTCTCTGTCCACATAGGACCAAGCCCAGCATATGTACAGTATTTGTAAAATTAGAGAATTTCACCATGAGTTACTGTGCCACCACAAAGCCACCTCTTCATTTGAACCTTAGTAGAGACCCCTTCAATTTTTTTACAGCTACATATTTAATATATAGAAAATATGTGTTCATTAAAAATAAATGTATTTCTCTCTAGGAAGTCTCTGGCTTAAATGCCCATTTTTCAAACATTATATATGAAAATGCTCGAGTCCTGCAGTGGGTCACCAATTAAAATTTTGATTTGAAGATCAGCCTACAAGTCACAGACAGCCTCGTAAAGATGTAACTATCATAACTTGCCTTTTCCCAGTTGGAACTGTCAGGTGAACGCTTCTGAAGCACCTAATGTATGACTAATGTTTGTTTGTTTTACAAGAAGCTTTACAGCTGCAGTGTTCCAAGAATGCTTAAATTCAATAAACAGCTATTATAATTCACAGAATGGTAGCATTTCCTCTGTAAGCAAACATAACCTATCCATCCTGATTTTTCAGAATCAGTAAAAAACTTCCAGGTATATAACCTCAGAAGTGAGATTTAAACAGCTCCAGCTCCTACCTCGTTGGCTGTATAAACAGTACAGCCAGATGCTGGCATTCTAAATTGATGAGGCAATCCTCCATACAAATTATTTAGAGGCATACTTTTTACTTACGTTGCAAGTGATGTTATTTGGCGTATTATACCGTACCACAACTCATGCAGCGGAGGATTTAATGGGTGTGATGGTCCCTCTGAGCAGACCTCAAATTGGTACATATAAACTACATTACTTTACTACTGTATGACTTCCCCCAAATGTATCCCCATAAATTTTCTCACCTGTCTTTCCCAGTTTCCCGTTTAAAAAGGTCATCAAATTGAAGCATCTTGTGGCGAGAAATCATGTATGCTTTTAATTGAGGCAGTATCTGATTCATCAGCTGCAGGTTGTTGTACACCAAGCCTTTACCATCTCTCCTCATGTAGCTGCTGGGACCCCAGAAGATGAACACAGCACCGTGGCTCATGTTTAAGAGTTCGTTGCGATTGCGCAAAATCCTCTGAATACTGGAGTGTGCAATGACTCGCAGGCTTGTTTTGTTCCCAACATCCTGCCCGTAACCTCGAGTAGGTGCATCATTCATTCGTATTACGCACTCCGTCTCGTCGATTCTGTCACCTTGCTTACTTCCCAGAAGGTGTCCAGAACTGGTTACCAATGCACAGCTCTTGCAGTGCATTTTTAAAGGCTGCAAAAGACATACATATTTCAAGATCAGCTGTGAACACCTCCCCATGCACTAGGTATAATTCATATTTTACATATACATTCCATATTTTAGAGCAAAAAGACCTTGGAGGGTTTTGCACAGATCTCTCAGCATTCTTCCCAAATAACTGGGGATATATTACCTATATCTTTTATAGATGGGGAAAATCATGTGTGGCCCTTAAAAATCCTCCATAGAATTGAATCCACTGTTTAAGTCCTCCTTCCCACCGCAGTTTAATAACCTTCATATTTAGTAATCACAACAGCTTCTATGCCGTTCACAGCTGCACAGCGTTGTTCTTCCACTTGTTATAAAAGAGTTCTAATTGGAGTATTGCTGATTCTCCTTCTAATTTCTGCAGGAACTGATCATTTTTTTAAGTCTCCGTAAGCACAGGCGTCAATAGCTTTTCAACCTTGGGGTCAGGACATTTTGCACAGGGAAGAGAATTATATCCTGGTCTAATCCTTCCACACCATTTCCAAGTCAGTGCCATGACCACAGCAGTGCTCTCATGCCTCCACTGTGATTCAACAGTCAGAGCTGCTCATTAACGTCTGCATATCTCTTACATGACAGCAAGTTAGAGCACTGAACTTTTTCTAGCTTGTCAGGTCATGCTTAAAAGTTACACAATAAAATGAAATAGGCAGTGCCTGTTCAGTCAGTGCCTGACCTAATAGAGCTGGGAGAATAAAACAAGCTTTCAGGAAAATGAAAATACTTTGCAAATCATTCTACTGAAGTTTGTCACCAACACATATATAAACAAGAGACGTATGTGTGTTCATCTTCTGCTCAGTGTGAGAGCTGGAAAGGGGCGAAGGGCCAAAGACCATCCCCAAAGTGCTGATTTCCAACAGCAATACAGCAAAGTGGGAGGCACAGCCTGTTTGAGGGTATACCTCTGTATACTGCAGCATCTAAGATCAGCAACACTACATTACAGACCATAGATCTGTATCTGGTGTATCCAGCATGGGGAAGAGGAGGTGGTCAGAGCTGCTGTCCTGACATGGCATGCTGGCCAAAAAAAAACACTCCCAAAATAAAACACAACAAACTGAACTGTGGTTGGCCCTCAGTTTGACATTCTGAAAGTAGCAAGAAGTGGTTGCTGTCTGCATTTGTTTTCTGCAAGAATGGCTAACTGCTTGTTAAATTAAAACAAAAAAATAACTGTATGATTTGTGTAATGACAGAAGCAGCAAGCTTTGTGTCTCAATCTTCCCCCAGAAAGAAAAGTCCTTTCTCTCACATGTGTTTGGACTGCACTCCAGAGCTAATGATATGAGTATCAACGTTTGTGCTTTTGTACTCAAGGTTTCCTAATGCAGTATTTACATGCATTTTCCTTTAAGCTTTTTTCTGGCACTTTGATGAATTACCCAGCAAAAGGCTTTAAGGTGAACTAGCTTCTCCACCATCCTGCTTGGGAAAGCAAGATGAAGTGCTAATGAGGTTAAAGGAAATGTAGTCAGCACCAATGTTAACTCACATGGGTTCCAATACCCACACTGCAAGACTTTTTCACCTACACCAATCTCCGCTGGTTTCTGGCCTACTGAGCTACAAGTACTTATTTTAAATGTCTGCCAGAGGATCCATCACCTGTGAGGAAACAAGCGCAACCATCAGTGGGGCAGGGAGGGAAATGTCATCATCTGCTAGGTGATACACATTAATACTCCCACAACATCTGTCCTGTAGCTTGCTAGGAAATGGTTCCCTTTGGAAAAAAAGTCTTCTGACTGAAACATGCAGGTATTACCCAACTAATTCTTCAGTGATGCGTGGGGGCCGAGCAGCTGTACCCGCTCTGGGCCAATCATTGATGCTCACCTCAGAGTCTTTCTGCACAGATCTACAAATCTCACACCTAAAACCGTCAGAGGAATTCACAGCCAACAGCCACAACATTCTCACACCAGCTGTTTCTAATGCCTTGACAATATTGAAAGCAAGGGGAAAAAAACCTACTGCTGTAATATTAGCTGGCCAGGAGGCAGTGGTTGCACCAGAAATGTCATCTACTTAAGCAATAATAATGGAGTCACAAAGCGTTTCTTTGGGATTGATGACCAGCTAGGAAAAGTTGATGGCCTGAGAATAACCAGGGGCCATTAAGCCAGAAGAACATTAAGTTCACAGAAAGCTCTCTGCTAATGTAATTATTACAGGGATATGTGGGGAAAAAAGCAAACTAAAAAAAGCAAACCCGTGACATGCGAGTTGTATTTTAGGTAGGCAATGCAACCCACACTCCATTAGTCTTGCTTCAAAATGCCCAAAAAAGGCACAGGGTGAGAGGACTTTCATGGTGCCTGTGCTAGCTACCTTGAAACATAACCCACAGAGGACATAAACCTGCTGACATTTGACAACGGCCATTGATACCCACTGTGTTCACCCAGTGAAGCTGGCAGAACAAAGCCATTCCCTGTTAGAAGGGCTGTCCCAGGGAAGGGAAGGGAGCAGGAAAACTTGCCCGGTTCTGGGACAGCCCACAGCAGCACACTGGGGGACACAGCAAATGTGCACAACCTGGCACAGCAGAAGTACCGCGTGCTGAAATGCTGCCGGCAGCTGTCACTGCCACGTGTTACAGCCCAGTAATACTGCTGCTATATCAACGTCTTCTGGTTTGTTAATAACAGACCAACAAGCAAATGGCAGTGAAAAAGCATTGCCACGGTTGTTCCTGTACTTTCCAATTTAAGCAATCCCTGCTCTGTTATTGACTTCAAAATCTATGCCGTCCAATGACAGAAAGATGTTATTTTCAGACACTTTATTGCTCAAAAGAAATCAATAGAATGTTATTACTGATTCAAACTATGTTACTCTTAGATAAAATTATTTTCTTTGTGATGAAATAAAATGCCTTCTTATTATTTTTTTATTTCTGCTTATCACAGTCCTTTGATTTTAAAGGAAAGATTTTAGAAAAGAATACAGTTCCTCCCAGTAAAACCAGCAGCACTGGGAAGCATGATGCTTCCTCCTGCTGCGCATTTAATGACTTACTTTCAAGACCCCTGGGTTTGGATCATTCCACTGTCAGTAATATAAAAGGTTTCTTTCTATAAATATATTTTAAAAAAAGCATATTTTACCTTAACAATGATGAAAAAAATGAAAAAAAAACCCCGAACAGTGAAGAACACCTCACTACTGAGCTCAGCAGAAAAAGAGCACCTGTTCATTAACACCAACATTCCTAATAGATAATGCTGGACATAGTGCAAATGAATCCCTAATGCACTGAGAGAAGGCAAGAAGCAAAGCAGACGAAAAAATGCTACAGAATATCCAAACTCCTTTTGGATATGTGATCTTTAACCAAACGTTTGAGACCACAAGTGCAAAATGCCAATGATTCTAGGAAAATAATGCCTGCTCCCCTATATTTTTTGCTTTGTAATATATCAGTGTTGGTACAGGGCACATGAAAAGAGCTAAAGGTGAAATAAATGTACAAGCACAATGAGTTTGCCTTAGTCCCATGCACACGACACACTTGCAATGATGCCCTCAAATCAGTCTTCTCTGAACAGTGAAAATGAGCATATTTTGAGCAATACTTTGGTGTACAAAAAGCTGGAAGGAAAAGTAGAGTGGAAAAAAAGCATGTAGAGACTTCTTTTTTACCTCAACCAACTTAACCTTTCTGAGGTGTTCAGGTCTCTGTGAACTTTGTTTTCACGGTGCCGAGTTCTGATCTAAGACATGGCCTTGGTTTGACCACAGGCTTCTCACACTCACATTTGGTTGGGGAATGCAGCTTGCTTTCTACATTCTGCATGCCAGCTCTGATTTTCCACTGAAGTTTCATAACTTTTCATTCTTTAACCCAGACGTCAGCAAGTACAGAGAGGTCTTAACGAGGAAGAAAAATCCCCTGAGCAAACACATTTGTAATTTTTGTTGAACTAGGCTTTTGGAGCATTAGATGCTCTGCTATGAAAACAAACTGCATTATCTACTGAAATAAAAGCACCGATTGCTTCAAGAACTGTTACCTCAGTGACCGATAGCACACAAGTAAATAGAAAGGGTTAGGAGATACCACTTCCCCAACACTGCTAATCCTTATGCAAATCCGCATAACAAGCATCCGCAGCAAAACTTTGCAATTCAAAAAAGGTTTGGCAAATCTGTTTAGGAAGATAAATGCGTGCCTGCTTAAAAAGATAAAAGATAAAACAAATGAATTTCTTATTACTTCTCTTTGTTTTTCAGGCTGTAGAGCTTGAATATGCAGGCTTCGTGGAAACATTAGCATCCTCATTTCCTATTGATTCTTCAAGAGTTAATTGTATAACTGGACTCTGCCTTCAGATGTTTGTTGAACAGCAACAGTGCAAGAGCCGAACTTCAGCACCTGCCTTCATCACGCCCTGGGTTTTATTTCTCAGAGGAGCAGAATATTTTTGTCTGCCATGATATTATGCTGATGGGCACCTGCAAAACTTGTAGTAAAAATACAATAAAATTCTATTTTCAAACGGTCCTTAGGCGAATCTACTTCAATTTCTAAACATGAGGCTGGATTACGAAAGGCAAAATAAAAAAACAAAACAACAAATGCACTCCATAAAGCTTTCACTGGGATAATTTTCTTAGAAAAAGTACCGTTCAGCACATTAGTCACTGAAGAGTTTTGTGCTTGTGTGAAGTGCTTTCCGGCACATTAACTCTTTTTCAGAGACCTGCCTGCTAGTCAAAGCTTCCATTAGATTAATTAAAATATGGCTCCTCTCACTGGAAAGAAAAGGCATGAGTTTGGTTACAGGACATTGACCACATCCAGAAAGCAAACCCTTTCATTCTTCGTGTGACTGGGAAAGAAGCTGCACAGGAGACGGAACAACGAGAGAAGTTCTGGTGTACAGAGCACATTTCTTTTCTTATTTGGAAGCATGATTACATGGTGCTGATGTTTTCCCCAAAGCCAACTGAAGTGAATATAAGGT